GTGGGGGGCCGGGGGCGGGTTCCCGCGCTTCTGAGGCTTTGCAGACCACAGGCACCCGGTCTCAAGCGGCAGCAGCGGCGGTTCCCGCGCTTCTGAGGCTTTGCTCTGGCAAAGCCTCAGAAGCGCAGGAACCCGCCCGGTGCCCCTGGTCTGCTGGAGACGGTCTCCAGCAGACCAGGGGCACCGGAGTAGCTTACGAACGGGGCTTTCTCGCCCCGGAGCTCGCAGGTAGCAATCCGCCACCTCGACCTCCGGGGCGAGAGAGCCCCGTTCGTAAGTGCGGATCCGACATAAGTCGGATCCGCGTAAGTCGGGGACTGCCTGTACATCATTAACACACTGGAGTAGGGGCAGCCTGCTGAAGCAAGGGGTGAATGTTCCAGGAAGCATTAAGAAAGGCACAAGAAAACAAGAACAGATCTGTAGTAGGGAAAACTTTAAAAAAGGGTTGGAGAAACTAAAACCTTAAGATAGGGGGAAAGTACCACCAGGAAGAGGAAACACTAGTAATTTATCTAGAATAAATGGGGGGAAATACTTGGTTTTGTCTACATTCTTTTCTGGATAGTATGTGACAGACTTAATATATATTTTAAAGAATATGAGCAAAAATATAATGAATTGACTAGCCTTCATGCCGTGCATATTTAAATTAGTTTTTTTACCCTCATATCTACAAAGGGTAAAAGTATGATTCATTCGAAGAACTCAAGGAGCAGAACATTGATGACATTTACCATTAATCCCCACTAAGGGTCTTATTCTCACCTTGATGCACAAAAGTACAATAGCTACCATTAGTATTAATGGGAATTGTTAATCCACCAAAGTGAGAGTATATTGCTAAAGCACCAATGAACAGTGCATGTGTGCGTTCTCATTCTTAATCTAAATAAGACTTAACTGGTTCTGAAAAAATAGCCCCCTCTTCCATTCCCTTTGGAAGTACCAGTAAGGATTAATTCACATTCTGGAATGACTAGCTGAAACAATGCTACAACATTTAAATTATTATATTTTGCCAGAAGCGTTGAAATATAGTTCCTATGGTTTTCTTAAGTAGATGGTAAAAATGGATATGTGTATCCTAATTGCATAGCATTTTGACTTACAAACCATTTTCTTACTGAGCAAAAATTTTTTGTGGGTTTTTTTTTTTTTCCTTGGGTATAAACGGGCAGTTTCAAATCATATGTATCTAAAACCCAGGTTGTTGGGTTTTTTTTTTTTTTTTTGTGAGGATAGGAAGCCAAATAGAGGAACTGGATGTAGGGTTGCCAGGTGTCCGGTATTGACGCCTCCTGTCTGGTTTAAAAAAAAATCAGAAAATACTGGACACCTAAAATGTCCGGTATTTTCTGAATTTTTTTCCCCGCCTCCTTCCCCTCCCGCCCCCC